AAAATTCAAGTAATCACATGCGTAGAATAGTGAGTAGTGTTAAACGAACTCGACAAGAATTTTTGACAACGATATAAACAGCTTTTAATTGACCAATGTTCCACGCAAAATCAGTTAAAATGAATCGTGTGATGTAAACTTAGTAGTGAATCGTATGATGTCAGCCGTATGCCGGCTCGAACTGAAATACAAGACGACAATAAAAGCTAACGTAACTAACGTATCGAAGATAAAATAATACAAATGAAGGAACTATCGCTAACATTGCAATAACGACCTTAACATGGAAGTGGCAAATCGGCACTTCTATTGATCGATTAATAAGCTTCACGGCGATTAACTCGGATGATAGTTTTATGAGAAATAACCTTATATTGGAGATATGGACCTAATCAAGCGCGATTCAGAGCATACAAAATACAAAACAAACAAACAAACAAAACAAAATAAACAAACCAAAAAAAAAACTAACTAACCGATTTAGTAACGATATAGGCCATTTGATAAGTGATAAAGTAAGACTTAACTGAAAAGAATAACAATAAAAAAAGCCTGAGAACTTAGCCTGGAAAACAAGGAATCGATTACTTATTTGGTTTGCCCACGTACTGAATTTGACTTGATAGAATAGATGAGTAGCAGTGTGGAGAGAAACTATGGCCCAATCCCGAGTAGAAGTTGGCGCAGTAGAATCTACACCTGAAATGAACTAACCGAGTAAAACCTCGTAAATATATCTAATCAAATAACACGCAAGCTAAGCCAGCGATAATAACTATTTCCTGACGGAAATAGCAGCCGAGGGCTGGTAAACTTCGGCAGATTAAACAATTACTTGATAACATCAATGGTATAGTAAGTTCCTGCGGCAAGAACTGAGTTAATATCACGTTAAAAAACCGGCAGATCGTCCGGTCGAAAGGAAAAAGGTTAGCTCGCCTTGTCTGTTTTGCCCTTCCCCGCCAGCCTTAAGTTGTCGGTCCAAAATGCATATATAGCATCCTGATACCTCAGAAATTTTGCCTCACCCGTAATCATGGAGATTTCGTTCATTTCGCACCATCTTCTCTTTTTTTCTCAAAAAACCCGTTAGCAGCTCAATTTGCATCGCAATTGAAATCTGTACCTTATAACTCAATTTTACGGAAAATTAATACAAAATAAATTGCATTAGCTTGCCTTTGGTGCTAAAATAATCCAAGGTCGTCAGTTAGGGAAACTAAGCGCACGTCACCATAATTTCGTTGTGTTTCGCAGACTGGATGATCGTGTACATTATAGCTGCTTCCTCAGTTTTCGTGCCTGGAATCGGCGGGATAATATGGGCTGTGTTTATCTGCGTGAAACGATGAGAGAATGATTAACCCTGTGCTCTAAAGGCCTGAAAAAACGTCATTCTCTGGATAACGTTCTCTAATATCAAAGCCCGGCTGTTCGACAATAACTTAAGGTTAAGAAAGGGACTTTCATTTCTTTAAAAATAACATATTACACCTGAGGGTGAAGCACTCATACTGTATTTAGAGATTTAGGTCTCGAAACTGTTTTGTTCGCTGTGTGCTTATTTGCACTTTAGTAGCTGAGAGGATAAGATTATATCAAAGTTATAGTTAAAGTATATGGGCGGTTAATAAAACAAAGTTTAGCCGTTGTTTTAACAAACCGCGTTCTAAACTATCTTGAATATAGCTGAATCTTTTTTCTGAACATATGTTTTTGTGAACAGCGTCAAGAGGGCTGAAAGCTCACCCTCTTTTAAATGATACTTCAAGCCCACTGCTTGCGTAAAACAGCGGTTTGGATTACACCTAGTGTTGATAACCGGCCCTCTGTTTTTTATTTCTTATTGGCTCAGAAAGTGAGCAACATTCAATAGCATTCTAATCAGTCATTTTTAATAAAAATTAGGTATTCAAAACTTGACAAGGATTTCTCTACCCGCCATGTGCGAGCACATTGACAAAAGATTTTGCATATTCAGGGGATTAAATTCCAATAGAAAGAGCTTCGCTGCCATTTTCATCTTTGGCTTTTGCCATCGTTCTCAACTTTCTCATTTTGAACAATTAAATTGTTCTACAATTAGTTTTTCTTCTCATTACGACTGGATTTTATTTTTCCGTATATATTTTCCTACGGTAGGCACCCCGCATTGGTCTGAGTGTCCCGTTCATGCCCACTCTTTTTGGGTTTTAATTATTTATGTTTCCATATTTTTTTTCCGTTTTGGTCTTGCCCAATAAAGCTTGACACAAAGATATAAAACTAGTTACCAACACTATCTATAGCTGTGTGAATCCATGTAAGTTTAATTTGCACGACACGAAAGCAGAAGTCTCTGTTTTAATGTCCATAAATGTGAGATCAGCATCCACCCCTGACTTGCAATTTTGCTGTCATGATTCATGTTGCAGACAAGGCTTTGTAAACAAAGGAGAATGCTGAACAATGACGAAGATGATGAAATGCTTCCCAAAGGTAAGTTCTCTCATTGAAAAAAAAAAAGAAAAAGATGGTGAAGGGGATGGTTTTGGTTGGGTGACCCCTCATTGGCAGTTAATTGACAGTCAAGCTTATATAGCCCCCCTTTATACTCTGTTGGCAACGACTGATTCTCCTTTCCCCTTGAAAATGATGTGATCTCCCAAAAATAATTACCTCCCCTGGCTAAAGATGTTGAATGTACCCCAATCACACCTTATTTTTTAACAATTTTGCTCACCAAAATTCTTTTTTACAATTCCTTGCTGTGCGTTTTGTTTTATTAGCCACACAGGCACGATGTAGAACCCCGATGCCAAGATACTAAGCAAGGCAGGCTCCTAACTAAGATAACGTACCTTGTACCCGTCACCCGACCTTTGTGTCCATTTACACACCAACCGTTGATAAGACTCACAAATGAATATTTTATACTTTGCATCGACTAACGGTCCAGAAAAGACTTCAAAATGTTCAGCAGGCTTTAGAATCGGCGGTGAATTAAGTTGCTACAGTCGAGAAGATTGATGGTCACTTCAAACCATAATGGCATTAGTGTAACCTCTAACTAAAATGCTCTTTGGTATGCATACAACCGCTGGTCATTGAGAGTGGCGACTTGGATTGCAAGTAGAGGAAACTGATATTGCACTTTTTAAATACGGGCCTCGTGAAAACAACAACAATGAAAAAAGCTATACATAAAAAACGTTGATGATACTTAGCGATCCCTTCCTCGTAAAATTTTACTGTTTTCGCGTTTTGCGCCCCGAAACGTCTGTAAATTCAAATAATAAAAAGCCGTTTTCCAGGTAAATAGCACACCCTTACACGATTTTGTTTGTACAGTAAACATTGCGATCAGCACTACGAAGTTCCAGTTCAATTACCTTCTCTTTCCTAAATTGATTTTTATTCCAGCGTTGAGAAAGCTCGTATTAGCTACAAAAAATGTTATACCGACAAAGCCCTCTTACGTGTTCAACGGAAAGGACATGCGGGGCTTCTGATGAATGTTTACCTCAGTAATTTAGACCTTTTAATTAATTTCCATATCGCAGGAGGTCAACAAGCATCCAGCTTGCTTTTTAAAGCCACCGAAAGTTTAAATACCCTTTAGGTTTCATGTAACTTTTATGGCTCTTTTTTTGGCGAAGTTTTGAACCGGTGGAATTATTCAACTCTGTGCATTGGAAGTAATATGCAGCCAAAATGATCAGCACTGGAACAACATTGAACATGTACTTGCTGCAAACTTATTTTACGCTAATATTACAATGTAGAATACTTATTTAATAAATATATTTGAATATAATCCTTACGCTTTGATTGCTGATGTTAGAGCATGGCTATATACATCTTTCCCCGATGCTTGTCGAACAAAGCATTGCTTTTAGCGTCCCCTCTGTACGCAACATTTGTAAGGGGCAGTTTTAGACATCACTACGCGGTTTAACCAGCAAACCCCCCAATAAACAAGTTTCAGTTGGTTTTACGCGTACCTGACAACCAAGAACGTGCTTGCAAAAGCTAATAGGGGAAAATGTGACTGAGAAGCTATCACTTATGCAGGAAGCGCCATCTAGCTTACCACGGACGTGAAGGGTTTGGCCATGGTCGCGGCCCACTGCGTTTGAGCCCTTTGTTGACATCAATGAAATCAATTAATTTTTGGAGCACGTGTAAAATGCTTTTTATTGAGATCAGTCATTATCAATCGTCTGGCGGGAGGGGGGATCCCATGGTCTTAAGGAGGCAGAGTTGGGGGATCAGTCGTCACCAATGGAGTGAGTCAATACGCTCGATACCAGCAGAATTTTAATCCTACATACATACATACATACATACATAAATACATAACTTTACTTCCGTTCGAAATTTTAGAGTAGCATAGTGGTGCTAATTTCTCCGAACAAAGAAACTGTCTAAGTGAGTAAATAGGTAAGTCTTATTCATGGAAAACACTAATTCAATTTCATAATTATATTTCAATAAATGAAACCAATCAAATATATTAAATAAGATAAGTAAATGCTACTTGTTGCTAAACAGTAAAATGATCTATAGTCTCAAATGCAATTTTTAAATCTTTAAAGTCATCGAGGCTCGAACATATTCGTCTAAATCGTTCCATCTTTTTGCAGCAGAATATATATAACAGACGGATTATATAACATAACAATACTTAACTTCCTTCGTGTAACTCTATTTTAAATGATATGAAGCAGTTCATATTTTTTGCCGTTGAATACGAGCCATATTTATAAACAATCAATAGGCTCCAAAGAAAAATTATATACAGGTTCTTCCTTTGAGATCAGCTATAAAAAAATGTAAAAAACAATGACTTCTAAGTTTTTATCCTCTTTTTGTTATTTGCCACAATGCTACGAAACGCTGGGGAATTCCTGCTATTTCTTTGTGTGTTCGAGATGATTTATGCTTAACGATCTGTTTTTTTATAATGATTTCGATGAAGTATTTTACTTCCTTTCATCTTTTCTTTTTACTCTCTCTACTTAGTAGAGATAGACCTCTGCTGTTATTAATAAATAATCGAATTCTTCGTCTTCTGCTGTGAACCCTGAAACAATACTCTCCAGCCGCTGTAACAGGTCATGTTCTCTCTTACGTAATTTACGGAGGGAAGACTCGACGATATCCTCTTGAAATCTTACTTTCTTTTTTTCTCTACGTTTGCTGCAGTCGTCATTGCTTTGACCTTTCAGAGATTTTAACGTGTTGCTTATCCTGTCGAACAATGCTTGTCTCCTTGTACTGCATTGCTGTTTATCTATTGTTTCTCTGGATCTTTTTTTACTCCAAGCTATGATAGCTTGGCTTATTAAATCAAAGTTAAGATTGGCATTGTTCGTGGGGTCAAGGCCAATGTTTCCAGATTCTTTGTCCTTCACTTCTGCTGACGTTTTAGAGGTTCTCGACTGTTTCAACTTGTTACTGATTGCATCGAAAAACTCTTCTCTTTCTTTTGAGCTCGAGCAAAGGTTCTCATCGATAAGATCATACAGCTCATTTTCGCTCACATGGTTCTTAGCATCCAAAAGAGCATCGTTGATTATGCCGATAAAGATGTTCATACAGAGAATAGTGAGCGTGAAGAGAATTAAGAAGGCGAATATTTTGGCGTATATGGTATTAGCCTGTGCTAATTCATTGATTGGTCTAGCTTTCACTCGACCAAGAGTTACCTCGAGTTGGAAATAGGCTCCTTTTAGCACCGAAGAGTATCTCTCAGATACACAGCCAAACATCAAGACACCGAAGTGCAAAAACGCCACAAAGAAAATGGATAAAACGATGCTAAAGGATGACAAAGATCGTGCAGATATCTTCAATGTTGTG